TATATATATATATATATATATGTATGAATATATGTTATGTATGTCACATATATTATAAGTTTATATATATACAATGTGACATTAAATGTTGACTTTAATACTGACATTAATGGTATACCGAATAAGCACACTAAATGCAATATGCTTAAAGAAAATAAATCCAAATAAATGTCATCATTTCAGTCATCATCTTTTGGGTAGGGCTATAATTCAGTTACTGATCTGTTTACTTCCCTTCCATCAGCCCACATTTCTCCAGTAGAGGTTTGTCACATTAAAAACTGTATTTTGTATTTCTTAAATACTCCCACAATTATTTCTGTAGCTAATCAGTACTGCAGACTCATGACAGCACTACGATACCCTTTTATAGGTCTGGAAACTCGGAGTTAGGGAACGAGCGATCTGCTTCAGGTCATACAACTCAAAGACGGTGCAATGAGAATAAGAACTGGAAGCTCCTAAACATCAGCCTCCACTCCTCTCATGCATTGGTTCTCAAGCCAGTGCACACAGCATTCCTAACAAACACTGGAAATCAAAATAATAATGCCAAGATGAAGAGTACTGTGTCTTGAAAACAGTGGAGGTGTGTGTATACCACAGATTTCAGGATACAGAAAACCTGAAGCAATGAACATAGAAACTCTCTTAAGCAACCCACGCATGACAGAAAGAACCCACCAGAGAAAGGATCTGCTTGCAAAGGAGAACTGATCACTGTCTGGCAAAAGGGAGCTTTTTCTGAACTGACTTCCTCATGAAATTTTAGTGTAAAACTGCCTCGCCCACCACTCATAACCACCACAGACTATGATCGGTGGAGATGCATTTACGATACAGAGGCCCCCGAATGGATGAGCTGACAGTACCATCTAACCTGTATGAACTGAATGATCTTGTCCTTCACCAAGTCCAGTTTGCTCTTCATTGAGTGAGAGGTATCGATGAGGACATAGACACAATCATTATGCACTTTTCCAAAGAGGATTTGACTCCCATCCTGTAGCCAATTAATCCTAGACAGGAAACAGGTTGAAAGTGAGTGGTTAGAGCCTGCAGGCAGCAAGAGCATCTCCCTTCATCATGGAAGAACGTACCATGATAATGTAATGATACGTCTACGGAGACCAGAGTGTGCTGTCTTGTTTATGCCCAACCTTCTGGGGCTTATTCACTTTGAGGTTTTTCTGTAGAAAACCCTTGGAAGGTAAATGTGGGATGTAGACCTATTTCACCCTCCCCATACATACCAGATTCCCCCTCCCCCTGGGAAACTACGCCTGGCCAAGGTAGTTTACCCAAGGAAAGGCCCCTCTCCTTTAAGACAAATGGAAGACAGTAGGAAGCAGGAGCCCCGAGTAAATGAATTAGCATGTAGATGGAGTGAGAACACTAGTGTTAACTCCAGAAGGGTTAACTTATCTACTCAGCCAGATCTTCTGCGAACTCTGAGTCTGGTGAGGGTCTACACATAAGCATGCGAATGATTTACACCTCTCCTTTGATCTGTTCACTATATAACTGTTGTATGTACCTCATGGCGGTGCAGATTTCTAGCTGACCGGCCACTACCTGCATCTTACATAAGTCTAATAAACTCATGTCTCTACCTATTGCGATATCGGGAGAGTTTATTTGGAACAGGCTAACACTACGCGAGCGCCCTTTCAGATTTGGGGTTCTCACGATACAACCCTACATTTGGGCTGGCTCCCTTATCACCCCCTCCACTATCCATCCTAAATCCAAGTAAAACAAAACAAAGAAAATTGATATGACACAAAAATAAATCCAACATGGGTGCGAAAGCCCGAAGTGAATTACCTCTAGTCATCTTATATTTTGAGGGCCTCAGCTATGACTTCAGACCATTTGTTCCTGTAATCCTGCTGACTCTAGTCAAGCTAGTAAAGCCAGGACATTCCCAAAGCTTCAGTGAAGCTTATGGGCAGTATCAAGCAAGCCCAGAGTCCTGTAAAAACCAAGCGCCAGGCGGTCGTGTGAGCAGGTCTGCTCTGTGGTCCATGCTCAGATTCCCATCACAGGAAGGAAATGAAGTTCATGGCTGCAGGCAAAGCCTTGGGTGGGGGTGAGGGACAGATTATTGCACAGAAGGAGAGAGAGAGAGAGTGAGGACAGATGGTGAAAGAGAAAGCCTGAGAAAGAACATGCTCCAAAGATCTGCAGAAAGGTGCCCTCAAGATTTTGGCCAAGTAATGATCAAGGCACGTGTGTGAAGTAACTATGCAAGCCAAGGAACAAATCATTAAAAAGCAGTAGGTGAAACAAACCCTCTGGGCTTACACAAGGCTGGAAATAGTTCAGCTTCCAAGCAGCCAGAATGGGAAAATCTCCATAGTTCCGGGATATCAAATAAAGTCCTCAAAAGGGTATTGCCTTAGCAGTAAGACTAAATTAGCTCTGGACTAAAGGCTACCCTGGATTTATGCTAACATAACTTAAAAGCAAGTGCTAGAGAGATCAAAGTGATTCCAAGTTAATTAACTGCATCACAGAACATATAAAATGAAATCCAGCACCCAACAATGTAAAATTCAAAACGTCTAGCATACAATAAAAAATTATCAGGCATGCAAAGAAGCAGAAAAATATGATCCATAACCAGAAGAAAAATCAATCAACAGAAAAAGACCCAAAAATGATACAGATGATAGAATTAGTATATTACACAGCTATTATAAATGTAATACATAAGTTTAAGAAGGTAAAATACAAACAGAATGAGGAGAGATATAAAAGATATTTTTTAAAAAAAACCAAATGGACGGGCCGGCCCGGTGGCGCACTGGAGAGTGCACCACTTGTGAGTGTGGCGGCGCTCCCGCCGAGGGTTCGGACCCCATGTGGAGACCGGTTCCCGCTCACT